AGAGGACAAGATGTTTGTGATTTGACGGGTCCTATAAACTGAGGATATGGGGGAACCACAGTAGTTTTGTCACAATATATTCTTCACATGTTGTATTGTGAATAAAAGGGTATGCAGTCTTATCATTGATGGAGGGAACAACAAGAATGCAGTGTCTACATAGATGGCAGAGAAATTGAGACTCACGACTCAGATACATTTCCAACTGTATTCTTTAACTTGGTTGAAGAAGAATATTGTCAGCATTGATAAAGATGTCTCGTAAAGTTTTTAATTGGAAGCCAATTGCAAGATCATGTATGGCGTGACCTGCTCATAGACGCCTGCTATCTTTTATTAAAGTGACCCTGACAGTATGAACATATGGCTCGACATGATGGGTACAAGAACATCTACTCTTTCACCGAAGATGGTAAGCGTATCATTCTTCTACTCTCTATGAAGTTCAAGAGCACAGGGTCCCTTGTCAGCCGAGAAGCATCAATGAGATTAATTTTGATGAAGATAGAGGATGATAAGACCAAGACACCGATTCCAGACGAGACAACTACAACAGAGAGCATTTCGGGACATTATGATCGAAACTTTACTTCCATGGCTACCACTGTTCCGGGAGGTTCAGGTTGCTCTCACTTCAGCTCTAGTGGAGTCAAACTTGGATTATCTTGGGAGAATTCAACAGATGATGTATGACACAAAGTTCTAGTTTAGTTTAGTAGTGTGCCCCCAGAAGTTTGGACCAATATAAATATATGCTCGCAAGTGGAGAAAACTTCTTTGAAATGTTGGGAGACAGTGCCGCCAACAGTGGGATCTAGGTGCTATTAGGGCTGCAGCTGAAGATCCTTCAGCCCCAATTGATTACAACAACTCCGTCACCGCAGCGTGCAGACTATATCTTCGAAGAATGTGGTCGAAGCTTCCCCAACACTGGTGACTGATGCGGGGTTTAGGGGGAGGGGGTGAATCGACTTTGCAAGGGTGAATCAATTCAACCAAGGTGATAAGGGGTTCAGAAAACCTTTTTTTGGTTTAGTGTTGTTGCCCAAGGGGAGGTCTTCCCCCTTCTAGTTAACTACTATTATAATTATGTTATTTTCTTTGTTTAGGGTTAGTTTTTGTTGTGTTTTTCTGTCAAGACAGCCATCTACGCCCTCAATTTTTTCTCTCAAGGTTGTATCTGAGGACGATTGGTGCTCTGTTGTATCTCATTCCAATATTGTGATTGTCCTCGACCTCCCCATCCTCCGTAACTTGTTGCTCGCTGCTCTTCCAAACCTCTCAGCCAGTTGCTGCCACCTTTTCCCTTGCCCGCTTACTTGTCCATCAGGAAGGACGGAAATCAGACAGCTAAATGAGGAGTTTTCTATAATTAAGAGTTTCCTTATTTAAATTATTTTCAATATCTTTATTCTGATTTATTTCTCTTTTAGTTGAATATTTAGATTAGGAATATATATTATTAAGTTACCTAAAATAGATTATACATAATATTTTGTACCTAAAATAGATTGTAAGATTATTATTTAATGGAAGGAAGACAAAGGGAAAATGATCGAGCCTATTCAGGATTCAACCTATTTTTTTCAAAACTTTGACATGGTATCATAGCCAAAATTTTGCCCTAACCACCGGTAGTTATTGGAGAATTGTCAAGGATCCCTTCCCACCGGCCTTCTTGCGGGAAGGGAGGAACTATTTCTTTGCCTTGATTTGCCCATCTAAGAATTTTTGTCAGCTGCGACTGCTTTGTCCGCCTTTGATTCTCTATCTACTGCTTAGTCCCGGGCTGCTTCGTTCTTCGTTCGCTTCGGTTGTGTCGTCCTCCGATCTTTGACTACGACTACGCCCTCTCCCTCTCGTGCCTGGGCTCGCCAAATGGCGCTCCTCGCCGGCGAATGGACTGTCGCTGACCTTCCCAGCTCTTGCTCTTCTGGAGACCCCTTCCTCGGGCCGGCCTTAGAGCTCTGGTCCTCTCCTTCCCAGACCTACGACTTTGACATCTTGACTTCAACACTTTTGGAGTGAAGATCAAGGAACAAATCGTCCTCGTCGTCGCAGGAAGAATCAATAACATTTGGATTGTATAACAGGACGCGAATCCTACTTGTGGGCTATGATCAGTAGCATTTAAATTAGGACGCGGATTCTACTTGCTGGCTATGATTAATAGCATATGGATAGTGAAAATTGATCTTATTTGTGTGCTATGATCGGTAGCATTTGAATCATGACGCGGGTCCTACTTGTAGGCTATGAGCAATATCATCTGGATCGTGTAACTGGATCCTATTTGTGGGCTATGATGAGGAGCATTTGGATCGTGTAATTGAAAGCAGATCCTTTTTGTGGCTATGATTTGAATTTCTAGACGACAATGATAAAGGGTTTCTTGCTTTTATTTGCTCAAATCATGTTATGGTTCAGGAGTGTCTGAGGCTTCGGGATTCTCGGCTTCAACATTCACAGATTGAGGATTTTTGGTCCCGACAGTGTTATCAGTTTATTGTTGGCAAATTGATGCTTTCTGATCAGTCAACATCAATTTGAGGGGAGATGTCAATCAGGAAGGACGAAAATCAGACAACTAAATTAGGAGTTTTCTATAATTAAGAGCTTCCTTATTTAAATTATTTTCAATATCTTTATTCTAATTTATTTCTCTTTTAGCTGAATATTTAGATTTGAAATATGTATTATTAAGTTACCTAAAATAGATTCTACAAAATATTTTGTAACTAAAATAAATTGTAAGATTATTATTTAATGGAATGAAAGCAAAGGGAAAAAGATCGAACTTATTTAGGATTCAACCTATTTTTCTCAAAACTTTGACACTACTGTTGCTGCCTCCTCATTCCTACCTTCAAGTATTGCCGCCACGCCATTCCATCTTTCTGCTGCGCCTGAAGCCTCCAACTAGTCCCTCTACCTACTATAGAACCGCCGTCCAACACCGCCGTCCTTACCCTAGGGTATTGCTTGTTTTTTGTCATTTATTCCTGTTCCAAAAACCCTTTTGTTGTAGTTTCCCTGTATGTTTGCAATAATATTTTTAATTCACTGCGATTTTGGTTACTTTTATATCACCGTGCTTGTGGGAGAAGGGGGGAGGCCGAGGGGTGGTTGCATGTAGGGAATAATTGAATTGAGTCTATTTAAGAGAGCAAAAGTCGAAGAATAATTGGATTGAAATGAGGAGGTTGATGACAGTGGAGAAAATAAAAAAAAATTAAGGTGAGTGAAGTTAAAATTTTAAATTTAATGTTTATTAAATTATTAGTATGAGATCATTTTGAGTTATTATAGAAATAAAGATGGAAGAAGAATTGATAGTAAGATAAGTAACGTGGAATTGTGGATTTCAAGCATGAGGAAGAAGGAAGAAATGTGAAGGTTAGGGTTATAAATTTTATCTTAGAGACAATTAATTTAATTTAAAACTTCATTAACCATTAATGCTAGATTTATTTGAAATCAATATTAGGAATTTACACATGAAGAAAATAGGCAATGCCGAGGAATTGTTGGCTTTGTTAGAGGAAAGTAAGGTAAGTCATACTTCTATATGTTATATTTAGAAAATAATTAGATATTTAAATTAATATGTATGTGAAAATTATTTTAGACTTGATTGAATTATAATTATAGATTGATAGGTGATCAATGCAGTGATCAAGTGGAGGAATAAACTGATAAAGTGGTCTTATAAAGATTAATGTGAGTAATTACTATTTTATTTGCATTAAATTTATTTTTCTATTTTAGAAAATTTTTATTTATTCGTGAACATTAAAAATACTTTTATAATTAAAGAAAGATAAGTCAATTCTTTATCCTTTTTTATTATATTAAATGAAAAATAAATTGATTTAATGATTCAAAGGAATTAAGTATTTATAATTGTAAAATATATTCTCAAGTCTATCAAGAGTAATTTTATTATGGTTCTAGTTGGAGATGCTATTATACCTGTGCACAATAAAGAAAATGAAAATATTTATACATTTATTAGTACAAATTTTTCATGGTGCTCCTAAGATGATTTCTTAAAGAAAAAGAAAATAGAAAAGTATAATTGATTAAGAGGATGAAAATTTAGTTGATTAAGGTGATTTTGTAAAATTTATATAAAAAAATGTAAAGCTTATTTTATAGATTGATCTACATATTTTTTTGAACATTCATGTTAAGCATTTATATAATAATTTAGTGCATAATAAAATAATCATTATTAACTTTTTGTTGTAAACTTCACTTGTTATTTAACTGCACTTTCAAGAAAACGAATTGCTAAATTGATATGACTGGTAAAAGGGAATTTGTTTACAAGAGGAGAGGAAATGTAGTAAATTGTTGAATTTTATTTTTATTCAGTTTTATTTTTGTAAGCTTCAAGCTCGATGATCTTATATATTTTCTAAGATGATATTTATTTATGCCATGTGAATATTATTGTGATATGATTGATAAGAGTGAATTTGTTTACAAAATTAGAGAAACCGTTGGAAATAGATAATAAATTGTTAGATTTTATGTTAATTACCTTTTATTTGTATTACTGTCTAAGCTGGATGATCTTATGTATTTTATTATATGTTTATTCAGATTTTGTGGATTAGTGATCCTTTTATAGTTGAATATTATTGTGGGCTATTGTTACTATTAGTAATGTCTACTTTTACCATTCGATTGCCGTTCCCGTTTTGATTAATTTCAAGCTCCAGGGTTGAGTTGACATTGAGTTTAGTCCCATATTAAATAATTGAAAAATATTTTAGTATAGTAATACGAAGTGGTCGGCCATCATCTATAAGCTTAAAGCTTTTGGATTGAAAGTAAGTTTTGCCATTGTTGCATCTTTGCTCCTAATCAGTTATCTGATTCCTCTTTGATAGTAAATGATTCAGATAAAATGTACTCTTGGTTCTTAATCAATTTATTTATTTATTTTTTTCTTTTTATATTAAATGATTCTAATGTATATGGCTTTCATGCAGCGAGCCAAAACAATATCTTTGAGCAGATTGGAGGATGTTCAGGAATTGAAGAATCCAATGGGCCAGTACGGGGGCTGTATGATTCTGATTATGAGAACAAGGATGAACTGAATAAAATCTCAAAGGTTAATGGCGATGGATTCCGAAAAACTAGAGAAGAAATTGAAGAGGTGGCGGTGGGTCTACTTGCAGCAAGGTTAGATTGCCTTGGCTACTTTCATTGCTGGGTTGAACCGGATCAAGCTTTTAAAAATGTTTTATTGGGCATTTACATACGCAGCACACAATTCCTCTGTATTTACATGTCTCACACCTAAATTTCCATATTTACACAGCACTCAAATTCTTAATATCACATAAAAAATATCACTATTATCACTTTCTTAAAGCGAAATACACCTTGTCATGCATTAGTTTAAAGTACAAAAGTGTTGTGTGTGTAAATATGGAAGTTTAGGTGTGAGATACGTAAATATGTAAGAATTGAGTGCTAGGTATGTAATTTTTCCTTTTTTCAATATACGACTGCTGTCATGCTCTCCACAGACTATGAAAATTGCAAATTTAAAAATCACTGGAAGTAATGTAAATGCTTCCAAATTGCATCTTTCCCTATGGATTTTGAGAAATAATTTGAAACTATGACTTGGAAAATGTTTGTATTTCTTTGAAATGTTTAACATCTTTGCAGAGCGATGACTGCAATTGAGCTGCGAAAGAAACTACGAGGAAAGAAGTATCCTTCTGACATTATAGAATTCGTTGTATCTGATTTCAAGTCTAGGTATGTTCCTGCATTAAGAATTTTATTTTGGTCAACGTTATGTTGACTTTGGGGGTGGGGTTGAATTAGCACCATAATGAACTCTTAATGAAGCACCCAACCTTTAATCTTTTGGGTTTAGTGTTGAATTGTGTTCTTAATACACTGTTAATGGAGCAAGCATTCTCTTTTCTTTCATTTTTTAAGAATAATAGTGTCTTTATTTCCAATAAATCAGATTTCCCCCCAAAAGGAATGGCCAGAGGCTATTATACGAGCCTCCAGTCACTCCTAATGTTCCTAACAATTTGAGTACTACTCTTCTTAAGGCTTACACCAAGGATGCCAACCAACTGGCTGAGGTACACGCCATGAATATATAATAGCAGCTTGACTTTGCGATTTTGCCATGTTTGACAAAAAAAAACTAGCATTTCTGCATACAATATCTGAAAAGTTAAATATTCCGCATGTTTGTATTTAGAAAAATAGTTAATTTACTATAAGTCATCATGGTATGATATATGCTCAACACTTCTCATTTTTACAATTTTTCTTTTTCAAAATTTTAACTCCTATATCATATTGAAATAAGATCTTAAATTTCTTTTTCGCTCAAGTTACTAATTTTAATATAACTGTGCCATGAATTTAAAATCTAATTAATCATGATAGGGGGTTACTAAATGATAGCATATATGCGGAATCATTCACCCGTTCGCGATGGCTTTCCTCGACTTGGGGTCCAAGAAGGATAAGGCAAGTGAGTGCTATCTTACTATTTAAATTAGTAATTTCCTTCTTTTTCTCATTATTTTGATTCATGTGCAAATCGTGATGGTTTGAATTCATCATTTAAGTTAAGCCATCAGTAACTTACAATTTGATACATTGCATGCCTTGATGCTTAGAGACAATTTTGATAATTTTTGAAAATATAAAACACGGATACAAGAAATGCAACATTTAATGCAGAATAAAGTATTAAAATAGTCGTATGAGTGTTTACAAGGGGCTTTTTTAATCTCAAAGTTTATATCACAGAGAAGTGTCAAATTAGTCTTCAGAGTCTTTAAATTTGGTTAGTCCGCTATTTCAACTCGTATTAAAAAAAATACACGGACTAAATTGACACTTTTATAGACTATGGGGCATTGTAAAGAATCAATATGCTATTTTGATAGTTTTTTGGATGCCTACATACATAGCACGCGTAACATTGCTATTTACATAATCTAGCACTCAGGTGATATTTTTGAACTACCGAACTAATGTATTTATGGGTGCCACGATTAAACCATTGAGAATTTGATAAAAATGAAAAATATTGGTTGGGGTTTTGTCATGAATTTTGATATTTGAGTGGGAATTTGAAAAATGGATGAAAGAGGGTGGTAGATTTGTAAATAGCAATGTTTCGGGTGCTATGTATGTATTTGCCCCTTCTATTTAATAACAAAAAAGAACAAACATATTATAATACTTAAACATTTAATGCTTCCCAGGAGCATAAAAGATCTCTGCAGAAGTGATTTATTAAAGTTTTCAAATGTTAACTTATATGAATAATTGGAAGATTTACATCCATACCACTCAATTCTCTTATACTTACAAATCTAACACCTAAACTTCAATTCTTCATACATACCACCTTACCTATGCACTAAAAGGTGTATTTCACCTTGGAAAGGTTAAAAATAGTGGTATTTTTTATTTGATATGAAGGATTTGGGTTGTATAAATGTAAAAATGTTGTATAAATGTAAAAATCATAAAAATCAAAGTTTAGGTGTTAAATATGTAAATAAATAGGAATTGAGTGGTATGTATGTAAATGCCCCATCAGTTGAAAGTCTCTAAGTTTTCAAATGGATAATGCAAATTTGAAATCTTTTGGATTGATGATTAAGAGAGTCAAAATAAATAAATAAATAAATAAATAAATAACTAGACATAGAATGCTGAGGTAATATATAACTTCACAGTTTACATCATGATTTATTTTTTTTGTAATATTTTTTTCTGGGCATTTACATATATGCCACCTATTTCCAATGCATTTACACATCAACAGCTAAATTTTGCTTTTCTACATTTATACCACCCAAATCTGGAAAATACCTCCGTTTAAATTTTTGAAAAGTGAAATATACCTTTTCATGTACCGCTAAGTTGGTACATATGTAAAAATTAAATTTAGATGTTAGATATGTAAATACATAAGATTTGAGGCCTAAACTTTCATATTTACATACATATCACTTTGGTGCTTTACTCCTATGCATGAAAAGGTGTATTTAACTTTTAACAAGTTACAAGTGCTATTTTTGATGTGATATTAAAGATTTGAGTGCAAAGTGTGTAAATATAAAAGTTTAGGTGTGAGTAATAAAAGTTTAGGTGTGAGATATGTAAATACATAAGAATTGTGTGCTGTTTATGTAAGTATCCTATTGCTACCATAAACCCAATCTGTATGATTTTCAACAATAGGCTTTACTTCAGAAAGGTGTGGGCCAAACTGAAACAGAGAGAGCAATAAAGCAGGTGTTTGATGAGGAAGATTCTGAATGCAATGACCAGAACATGCAGCATAGTATGAGCAAGCTTTCAATGGACCATCTTCTTCTTCAGGCCTCAAAACAATGGCTGAGAAATCAGAACACCGCCGTCGACAATCGGAGGGCTAGGATTGTAAGGTGGCTCCAATATCGCGGTTTCGATTGGGAAGTCACCAACTACATACTCAAGAAACTCGAATGTCAATATCCGGCATGAGATCGTAAGCTGTTGCACCGAGCGAAGATTGTTTCGTCTCGCACTCCGGCTTTCATCGGTCAATCTTTCAAATCGCCGTCATAGTTTTGTTTCGCTATAATTTTATCGTTGCTTTTTTGAAATTTGCAGCGGGAAATAATTTCCCACAATCAAAGTTTTCGTGCATGTTGCAGTTATCTATAACAGACCAAGCATCATTTGAGGTTCTTTCCTTGTCATATATAAAATTTAGGAGTATTTACATGTAGACCCGACAATTCTCATGTATTGATATATCTAACCTCTAAATTTTCATATTCATATTTATAATATTGTGGCGCCTTTTAAAGAGCAAGTGATTGTTGTATTTTTAATGTAAGATTGAAGATTTGAATATTTTGTTTAGATGTTTGATGTGTAAATGCATGAGAATTTTATGGTATGTCTGTAAATTTATGAATCCTATATCAGCTTTCAAAAATTATACTTTTCTTGCAATAATTTGGCAATTTATTTTACACAATGTTGCGGTTAGGGCTGTAAACGAGCCGAGCTTGAGAGAGCTCAGGCTTGGCTCCTGTTCGGCTCGTTCGAAATAGCTCGTGTTCAAGATCGGCTCGTGTTCGAAATCAGCTCGTGTTCGAGATAGGCTCGTGAACAGTGTGTTTGTGTTCAGCTCGATTTAAATATTCGTGTTCTTGTTCGGCTTGAAATTAGTTCGTTAAACTAAAATTGGGAAAAATAGATGTAAAGTGTGGGATTCGAACCTGGATCAAATATATACAAAAAAAGACACTAACCACATTGTCACATGAGTTGTTATGATTTAAATTTAGATATAAATATATATAATATATTATTATATAAATAATATATTTAATATATTGTTATATAAAAAGTTATATAATTTTTTTTCGAGTCATTTCGATCCGAACACGAGCGAACAAATTGTTGTACGTGTTCGGCTTGTTTACATTTCGAGCTTAAAAATTTATTCGTGTTCGGCTCGTTAGGCTTAACGAACGAGCCGAACGCGAGCTACTTAACGAGCCGAACACGAGCTGTTCACGAACAACGAGCCAAATTGACGGCCCTAGTTGCGGTCGTCCCAAATGGGTCAAGTGTCATTTGCATTTTTACCCTGATTCTCAGAAATTTACTGTTCAAGTATTGATGGCTTATGTAATTTGCTAATGGAAAGCTTCTGTAATTATTTTTTGGGGGGCATTTACATACTTACCTCCCAATTCCTGTATGTATTTATATATCTTATGCTTTATCTTTTACATTTAGACCATCCAAAATTTCCATAGCACGTCAAAAATATCACCATTTTAATTCTTAAAAAGTGAAAGATAAATTTTTCATGCACGGGTAAGTTGGTATGTATGTAAAAATTGAAGTTTATGTGTTAGATAGGTAAATAAATTGGAATCGAGTGGTTTATAGTAAAAATTGAAGTTTATGTGTTAGATATGTAAATAAATTGGAATCGAGTGGTTTATTTGTAAATCTTCCTTATTTTTATGCAACTTGATAGTTTGTAAATACTTCAATTTTTTAACAAATGTAGTTGTTAAATTTCTTAAAGGAAGCTTTACATACATACATTACTTTCAATTTTTTACATACATACCGTCTTACCAATGCGTAAAAATGTGTATTTTAATTTTTTAAAGGTTAAAATGATTGTATTTGTGTTGTGATATAAATGATTTGGGTGGTATAAATGTAAAAAACAACATTTAGGTGTTTGTGTATGTAAATGACTCTTTTGAATATGTAAAAGCTATGGCATATTACGTCATGATTGATTTGTTTATCATATTAAAATGCTTGCAACGCAATGACACATGATATGATGTTACCTTGTTTGGAAGGTGCATGAAGGGAAATCGTGAGCACGAATTTTGAGACCATCGAATGTTCTAGGGGAAACGACGAAATTAAATAATATGATGGGAAATTATAAGGACGCATGAAGCCAATTGGTTTGGGATGGTCAGTTGATCGGAGATAGGCTGATTGGTTGAACGGCGACCCTACTACTAATGTTCCACCCAGGCCAAAACCCAGGCCAAATGTACTCGTATTGATCGCCTCACGGTCGTCCGGTTTGCACTTTAGGAGACACTCAGTTTCTTGGAGCCAAGGCCGATCGGAATCCATATGAAACATCCGACTTAAAAATTTAATAAAGTCAACCGGTTTAAGGGGGCTGATCGGGAGACTTGGACTCACAGAAGGGTATCAAAATCATTTACTGAAACAAAAATGTGTTAATGTCACTTATGAATATGAAATGTGTAAGTATCAGTTATAGTTATAGATATAAAAAGATATCAGAATTAGTTATAATTAGAAAAATGTGTCGGAGGGTAAAATCGATGTCTAACACCCTTAATCAAATAAGGGTAAATTAATAAGAATAAAAACTTGGAACGCCCCAATTGAAGTGAAGGTAAAAATGTAGGTTTATCAAGAGTCTTTTGTTCATCTTGCACAATATTTTCTCTTTGTTTCTGTCTTTTCTCACTTATTTAGGTGCTATTACTTGAGGTGTATTCTAAAAGATAAATCATGATTCAACAGAAGGTTATATCAATTTCGTGTCAACTATCATCGCGTTATTACATGCCAAGATATGAAAACAATTATTATGCTGCACGTCATATATAAAAGTTATTGTTTACGGAGCAATACCTATTATGAATGTTTACTGTGATTAATGAACCATTTTCGAGCCAGGCTAGCTCAAGATCGGCTCATTGTTCAGTTTAGATTGAAATTGGCTTGTAATTTGTTATATTCAATTTTGAGCCAGCTTGGATCGAAATTAAGCTGAGCTTGATCCAACACAAATTTGAAATGAATTGCCTCAAATTTGAGATATTTGGATTTATTTCAGCTTGAAATCGGCTCGCAGATCGTTATATTTGATTTTATTTAACATTATATATAATTTTTATAAATAAAAAATAATTCGAGCGAATACATGTATGACTCAAAATTGACTCTAAGAAAATTTTATCCAAAATTTTGACTTATTGCTTGGTTCGTTTATTTCAATATGAGCTGAGATTCAAATTAATTTTCGAATGATTAACGATCATTAATCTAAATTCACAGCCCTATGTATCTTGCATGCTACTCTTAACTAAAGGTCACAATGATTAATATGCATATTTAATTATTTTTCATTGGTGTGTTTATTGTCTTCTTAAAAGGAAAAAAAGATAATACGCTCTTTAAATTATATATTTATACATAACTTCCTCTTATTAGTTGAATATTTTTCTAGAAAAACCCTTAATAAGTAGATAATTTTGAAAGTGAGCATGCAACATAGGGTCAGTTTGGCGCAGTTTATTGGCTGCAATGCGTTTTGAAAACCCAAACGGAGGTGTTTGGTTTTCAGCGTCTTTGCTGCGTTTCACGATAAGTCGCAAAATTTTTTTATTAAATGTTCGGAGAATATTTCTTTACGCGTTGACCTCATCCTGTACCCTCAACCCGCGCCTCTTTTGATTGCTTGTGTGTCTCCTCTGCCCTAGATACAACTTTCGACCACTCTCACGCTTCTCTCCCTCTCACACGTCTCCCTCGATCGTTGCCTTTCTCATCCACCTCTTTCGTCCGATCCCTGATTGTGGTGTTCTGTAAGTAAAATTCTTCTAGTTATTTTCGATGGAATGTCTTTTTTGTGCGATTTTTGGCTTTCTCATTTCCATTGTGATGTGAGAAGTTTGTGATATTTGTGTGTGTGATGGATGTCTTGGATGAAAAAATGTGTTTGATTTGTGGACAATAATGTTTTGGTGGCTGTGGTTGTGGTGGTTTTGGGTAGTGGCTGTGTTCCCTGGAGGACTACGTAGCTTGTGACATACGTCGTCTGAATTTTAAAACTAATATTATCATATTTTTAATTTTAATTTTAATAGTTTTGTTTTTTTTAGCAATCTTTTTACTCAATGTTAAGTGAGGTGTGTATCATATTTTTGTATTATTTTGAAGTAATTTTTCGTTTCTTAAGTATCAAATATATTGTTATGATTTATGACAGTTCTGTTGCAAACGTCAGTAAATCATTATTGTAGATGACATAATGATCATTTATCCAGAAACAACTGCAAAACAATTGTTTTCCAACAACAACCCAAACAACCAATCAGCTTATCCGAATCAGTTGCTGATCAGTTTGGATCAACTGTTTATCAGCACTTTATTAATAAGTTGTAGTTGCCCCAACCAGACCCAGAGTTAACCATCTCTTAAATTTCTTTGGGCTTTAGAATAAAATTGGGGGCATTACTTACCACCAAAATCTTATGTATTATATTTGTACAACACCTAATTTCTTTTAGAAAAATTACATAAAAACCACTCGAAACATTGATATTTACAAATTAATCAATTTGGTGACTTTTTTTAACTACCGAGCAGATATATTTGCGTGCGCCACAATTAAATTATTAAGAATTTGATAAAAATGAAAAATATGGGTAGAGTTTTTACCATGAATTTTAATATTCAAGCAAAAATTTGAAAAATGAATCATAGCGGGAGGTTAATATTTAAATAATAAGTTTGGGGTGGTTTATATGCAATTGTCCCTTTTTCTTAATATTTATATACATTTTCATGTATGAGCACGATGACAGATATGTAATATTGAAGTTTAGACATAATTATATAAGAATTGGGTGGTTTGGATGTTAATCTTCCATAAAATTGTTATATGTACACAACCATTTATCTTTCAAAATTGATTTAAATTTCTAATAAACTATTTTTATAAAGATGGGCCCGCACAAATATTTAGCGTTCCTTTGAGGCAACACTAAAATGCAGAAACTATTGTTTGGAAACTGTGTTGCAGTAGCGGTATGAGATAATCTTATATAACGTAGGCCGCTGGTTAGCCCCACTGCTCGGGCTTTGATTGCGTACCCTCGATTTCCTCCGCGTGCCCTTGGTTTCTTCTTTGTTGTGTTTGGTGCATCCGTGTCCTAGCTCCTTTCTCCTCTTTTAAATTCGATCAACAGTCTCCTATGACACTCTCATCTCTTTTCTTTCTTCTCACCAGTTCCAAGACGATCTTCACTTCCATCATCTGGTATTTCTTATCCCTTTATTTCCCCTTGTCTTACTTCTTTTCTGCGAGATATGTGGTTTTTTGCTTTTCCTGCAGTAGCTTGGTTTTTATGAATCGTTCTATGTGCTTATGGCTGTGATTGTTGTTTGTGGCTTAGTTTTTTGCGGTTTATGACTTAGCTCTGTGAGTGCCTCTTGTCGCCTGTTTTTTTTGCAGTTCTTGTAAGTAAATTAATGAAAAGATTTGAGAAGATTTTAGAGAGAAGTTCATGAAGTCTTTTGTCGTTTGTGGCTTGCTTTTTTTTGTTTATGCCGTCCTCTGTGATGGCTTGGTTTTTTTCAGATTCTATGGATATATTGATTAAAGCTTATGAGAGAAATTCATGATTTTTTTTCCTTTTTTGGTTTTGTTTTTTTTTTTTTCTGTTTATGGCTTAGCCAAGTGATTACCTTTTGTCAGTTGGTTTTATGAATTCTATAGAGAAATTGATAAAAACATTTGAGAGAAAAATTCATGATAATTTTTTACTTTTTTTGGCTTTATTTTTTTTTCGATTTATGGATTAGCTTTTTTATTGTCTTTTGTGAGTTTGTTTTGTGGATTTTATGAAAAATTGATGAAAGCATTTGAGGGAGAAATTCATGAAAAAATTTCACTTTTGTGTGGCTTGACTTTTTCGATTTAGGCTTAACTCTATCATTGCCATTTGCTAGTTGGTTTTATAGATCTTTATAGATAATTTGATAAACACATTTGAGAGTAGATTTCATGAATAAATTTAATTGTCATTTTTTAAATTTTAGTAGTCAAGTTACCCACTATTTAGTGAGATATCTATCTTTGTTTTGTAATGTTCTGCACTTAATATTTGTTTTTAAATATGAAATATACTAATATGAATATTTTTATTACAAATAACATTACTATAAATATGCGAAATAATAATTTGTCCAGAAACAACTGCAACACAATCATTTTCAAACTGTAGAAAACAAACAAACAATCAATTTATCCAAAATTTTTAAATATGAAATATACTAATATGAATATTTTTGTTACAAATAACATTACTACAAATATGCAAAATAATAATTTGTCCAGAAACAACTGCAACATAATTATTTTCAAATTGGAGAAAACAAACAAACAATTAATTTATCCATAGCAATTTTTTGCACAAGAAATTATTATTAAACTGCAACTATCCCAAAAGACCCTTAGTTTTAACTTATAAGAATAAATTTTAATTAATTAATTAATTAGTTGATTTATTTTCCACATAACTTCTTAGATAATTTCTAAAATAAAAGAAGTCAAGGGGACCTGTAAACACGGGCATTGCCTCCTCACTGTTTCTGCACCAAAACCCTCTTAAATCTTCTTCTCCTTTTCCTCCCCAGAAAACCCTAGCTCCCAATGGACGACAACTTGTACGACGAGTTCGGCAACTACATCGGCCCCGAGATCGAATCTGATCGAGACTCCGACGGTGATGAAGACTCTAACGATGCCGCCGACAAGTCTCCCGGCGGCGAATCTTTTCATTCCGACGATGACGGTGGCTCACCCATCTCTGCTGCCAATGGTTGGATTACCTCCACTGCAGGCGGAACCGATGATATGGATACCGATCCTTCCACTTCGCAAATAGTTCTTGCGGAGGACAAGAAGTACTACCCCACAGCCGAGGAGGTCTATGGAGACGGTGTCGAAACCCTCGTGATGGATGAGGACGAGCAGCCCCTTGAGCAGCCTATAATCAAGCCTGTTCGTACCATCAAGTTTGAGGTCAGCGCCAAGGAGTCTTCCACTTATGTATCGACCGAGTTTCTTCTCGGTCTTGCCTCCAACCCCGCTCTTGTCCGTAATGTTGCGCTTGTTGGTCATCTCCAACACGGGAAGACCGTGTTTATGGACATGCTTGTCGAACAAACACATGGGATTTCGACATTTGATACGGAGAGGGAACGGCACATGAGGTACACTGATACTAGGATCGATGAGCAGGAGAGGCAGATATCCATCAAGGCTGTGCCCATGTCCCTTGTGCTAGAAGATAGCAATGCTAAGTCCTATCTTTGCAATATAATGGATACTCCGGGGCACGTTAACTTCTCTGATGAGATGACAGCTGCACTACGGCTTGCAGATGGCGCGGTACTAATCGTGGATGCTGCTGAAGGGGTTATGGTAAGTTCATAATGACTGTGTTCTTGGCTTTAGGGCTTCCGATTGTATGGAGTAGGCTATATTATGCTATTTTCTATTTTTCCAGATTGATTATCCAACCTTTTTCTCCAACTGGAGGGAGATTACAGAAGGTTTATCTAGTTCGATTTTATTAAGTTCAATGAACTTTCTAGACATGGGATTGTTATAAGAGATTTTCATGCAGCATGAACATGGAAGTTTGCTAGCTGTAGTTTTGCTGTTAATGATTTACTTTGCAGCATTCCCGTTGCTTGATGAGTTATGTTTTTGTTCATGCTGAAAGCCTTTTGTGAGAGCCATTGTTTTTGATAACTGTTAGCAAAGCTTGTTTTTGGTTTTCCAACTGCAGGCTACATTCTTGCCATTGTTCTCACCTCCTAGAATGTTATTACCTCTACCCTTTGTTTTGGTGTTCTCACTAATTGCTTTCAAGTTGACTGCTGTTATCGTTCCGGCCTGCTGAGATCTCTACCTTTAGGTACTGTGTACTCTCACTCTTTTTTAGCTGCTGCCAGCTTCAGGTTTACGATTGTTGTTGCTTACAGGCTTGTCATTGCAATCGCATTTAGGTCACCCATAGTTGCCACTTTTGGGTTTGTTACTATAGCCACCTTGAGGCACATGATTGGTTCCTCTTTTAGGCCTGCCACAGCTATAGAACTCAGATTAAATGCATTTTTTACCTCTAAGAATGTTGTTGATGTCGTATCTGGTATCGAATCTTGATGCATTCACTGCCTTTAGGTTTATTGTCACTGTTAAAGTTATAACTAGCTACATCTTATTGCTTCAATGTTTTTGTGTGTGATGCTATGACTAGTTGCCCGGCAGACCTGCCTTCCATATTTGAAATCAGCACTCACTGTTGGTCCACTACTGATGGTCACCTACCATTGTGTGCTTTGAGTCCGGTCTTTCTATAGTTGTTTGCCACGTTAGATGCAAATGTCTGCCAGTTGCCATCATCCATTGATTATCACATCTAAAAATGCTGTTTTTATCTACAATATTTAGAAGAGTAGTTGTTTGTAGCTTCCTTCCTAATCCATTGATTATCACATCTAAAAATGCTGTTTTTAGAAGAGTAGTTGTTTGTAGCTTCCTTCCTCATCTGACATCAGTTTGCAACGATAACACCTACTTACCCCAAGTCATTAGATGTTTCCCAAGTCATTATAACACCTACTTACCCCAAGTCATTAGATGTTTCCCTTCTCATTAAAAATTGCTGTTCATATATGTTTGCCACAATTGGTTTTGATGACCTCGTTAGTTCACCAAAGTATTTGAAGAAATTTTTGCTTGAATCCATGGCTCCATGCCACCTAAAGATGTTACTAAATCAAGATCTTTTTCAAACTGATATCTTACATATGAGGTCATCATTATTGGAGGCCCAGAATTATCCATCTTTATATTAAATGCCACAATTATGATTTTGCATTGATACAAGTTTGATTTCTTTGATTTGATTCAAAATTGGGCTGCAAACCACTTATGGAACTATATGAATTTATAGTCAGTTTAATTAGGTTTTCTATGGAGAAGTTAAGATAATGAAATTGGTATGAATAATAGTTTGATTGCTTTAGATTTAAACTTTAACCTTTACAGGCATTATGTTTATAGAAAAATGGGAGCCACATGTTCACAATCCAACTACATGTCAAATTTAGTAATCCTTCGAAAAAACTTGTTAAATTTTCATCGATTCCATTTAAAAATCCTTTAAATTTTTGGTTAAGGAGGTGAAATTGGTCGACTAAATATTGGGCATTTTCCTTGATTCTCTCGACCTTTATTTCACTTTCCTTTTTCTTTTTCGTTCTTATTATTGAGGATGAATTTGCAATTTTATAATAAAATTCCTTCCCACTTTATGTTTGCACATTGATCTTTCCAAGGTTAATTTCGGGGCTGTTTGAGATCAATTTTTTGTTTTTGTTTTTATTTTAAAAAATATATATATATTTTTAGTTTGCGTATTTTAGTTCTTTGATTATAATTTCTTAGAGAAAATTGAAATGATTAATATTTTTTAGTTGTTTTCTTAGATTGTTTTTTTCTTTTAATGAAAACCACCCTGTCCATCACCTACCATTGCCTATTATTGGTCTCTTTCATTACTTGTTGCCAAAAACCATTTTATGCAAGGTTCAATGAAAACAAAAATAACACTTCTTGAAGATGCCAAATATGTTTTTTAATTTCATATTAAAATATAAACAATACATAAACAAAAAATATATATAGAAAGTGATCTCAAAGGTCCTCTAAGCAAGTTTTCTTAGAACCTCCTGAGTCATGGCTTGCTATTAATCGATTGATCCTTTAAATGATGTCTCATTTTCTTCTATGTCTTGGATTTAAATTCCTTTTCTCTTTCCTCTTTATAGTAAATGAATTATGACTATGCTAGGATGGTTAATTTTATTTTATTTGATATAAATGAACAATTGGGATGGATTCATGTGCATTTCTTCATGAAGAGTGCTCTTGATTCGTTTTAACAATCCTCCAATTTGGTGGTCTTCTTCATTTTTCTTTAAAAGATGAATAATAGATCAACTGGCTTTATACATTTTTTTGTCTTTTATAAGCATATTTTTTTTCTATCTCCTAAAGAAGGTAGCACCCTTATCATATAAATTTAAACTACCTTGTTTTGTATGACATACAACTAGTGATGCAACTTGTTAAAATACATATCAATAAATTTTTTTGGAGAAAGAAATATATGAATATATTGCTAGTAACCCGGTGAACATTGTGGTCAATGTAGGATCTGCCTGTCACTCTTTAAATTTCTTCTTTTGAAGTAGTTGTAAGGCCCTTTGTTTGTTCCCTTCATGGCTTTTTTTCTGAATATAAATTCCAACAATGCTTGATCTGATGATCTGATTTTTGCAATAACGACGTGTTGGTTTAGTGTCTTGCTTCTTTGTAGTCTAACCTTCAATCTACTCCTCACATTTGTATACTGGAATTTTTGTGCATTGGAACGAGATTTATTTTGTTCTTTAAGTTCTATAGTTTTTGCATTAACTTCATGTACATGAACAATGAGAAAAGCTTTAATTCTATGTGAAGGCTTTCATAAAGCTTCAATATTTTATGAATAGAACCTTTTCATTCAATGAAATTTCTAAAGAAATTCCTTGCCTTGTAAATTCAATTGTATATCTTTGTCCATTATGCTTATTATTGCTTTAGTTTTTGCCATTGAATCTTTTTTTTTTTTTGTCGTTGTGTTCAATGGTATTGAATTAAGCTTTTAACAATCTTTATCTTAAAGCTGGCATCTCAATGTTTTTAAACAATGAATTCAATCACCCTAAAACATGCTAGGAAATCGGTAAACCGTGCAGCTTTCTTCTTATTTTGATAATCTTAATCCATGAAACATATCTCTAAAAGTTCAAAACAAATATCTATTATTGCAAGGTTCGAACAGACAAAGCAAGTAAAATCCAACTTTGCCTCTATTTTAAGGGGCTGATCCAACTTTGGTTCTAACTTGAAGCTATGATCTCCTTTTTTCTCTCATTTATATTGTTGCTTGATTTTTTTTTTTAAGTTGTCTTCTAGTGGATGCCTCTTCATTTGTCCAAATAGTTGATGGCAGAACAGAAAATGGTGGTGTTGGTAGGATTGATGATGCTACTGCTATCAAGTTAGCAGCAAGAGCTTCATCGTCATTGTAGCCATCCATTCCTTCAAATCAAAGCGGCCTTCAATTGTTTGTAATTTCTCCTTATAATATTATAGCTTAGGCTCCATAGAATTACCAAGAATGTCTTTTCTAGTTCTTAATTTGATATGAAAATCTTTCCTATGGTTAAGGACTAGTGCTCTGATACCAAATAGAAAATTGGTTTAGAATTATTGTTGAGGGCTTATTAGACATGATAAGGTATAGAGTTAAGTCAAAAATATTTTCTATGGAGGAATTGAGGGATTAGTTTAGTTTCTATCAAATTGAGATAATCGGGAGAGGAAGGCAAGGAGTAGCTTTGGAAGGCATCACCTAAGTGTTACGCAGTTTCTTGAGATCCAGGCCAATAGAAACAAAGATAGAATGGGATCAATGGCAGCCTTAGCTGAAACCTAGGAGAGAAAAATAGAGGTGGAAAAATTAATTTAATTGATTCAAACTTAAATTTTTGCATCCTTATGGTTTCTTATATGTAGAAAAATGTGAGATAACCCAATTTTATTCACATTCAAACTTAATGCATAAATAGATTTCTTACATCCATTAAATTTATGGCTAGAAATTACTTAAAAATTGCTAAATTTTTCTAGGTTTTCCCTTAAAAGTGGTCAGCTGTAGGATAAGGAGAAATTAGTGGAATAAATAATGGTAAGATCTTGATGTTTTCTACTTGCATTTCTTTTTATTCCCTTCTTGACCGCCCATTTTGAAGATTTAAATTTCATTTTGCAATTATGTCTCTACTCAATTCATATTTGCAAATTTATCAAACCTTAAATCAAAATGTAGAGCTTTACATCTAAGCCAAGCCTAGTGGTTTTTCCCTTGAGGGCTTCTATGTAAAATATCTTTCTCTAACTACCTTTGTATCTAGTTTTTTAAAGTTAACCTGCAATTTGAATTCTTGTATTCTCTTACTTTATAATAATATTTTGCTGCATAATTGTTTAGCATCATCCATGTGAACCCTTCTCGTCATTGTTGACTAGCTATTACAACGTTCAAAAATTAGTTAATTCATCCAAGCACAGCTTTCCTTTGTGTATTGACGCAAAAAATAAATCCTTGCACATCACGTTCCACAATACTTTGAAAATATTGCTCTTACATCTGTTGATTTTTTGAATTTTATTCTTGCTTGCGAGAAGTTTGAACGTTTTCAGTTGAAACACAATGTTTGGGAGCTATGCCTGATGGATGTTTAACCTTTGGAAAAAATATCGTCTCTGTTTATTCCATTTGTCAATCATTTTGCGATATTTTTTTTCTTGAATGGGTTATGAGATTTTACATGAAAGTGTATGATTCATTAAGATTGAATTAAAAATTTTGGGATTCAAATTATTTCCTTGAAGCTAGTGGTTATTTAAACGAAGTGTTTATTTCCTTTTTGAAAATGTACTACTCGCAGTTTGGCTGTTACAAAGAAATTGGCTTTGTACCATTTTTGGGTTTTCCCAAGTTTTTTATATTCTCAACTGTTTCATAAATAAACACTTTATCATATCGATAGTTAGTAATCTTTTTTTATCATGATCTGCAAACCTTTGTAATTGATAGAGCAATGCTTTTCATTTTTTCCTCTTATAGATGCTGTCTTCAGTTGTTTATGGGTGGCTTTCCCCATGATTGTGTTTTTTAATGTAATTTGATTGATAGATTCCTTGAAACTTTTGCAATTTGAAGTGTTGCAATGTTTACTAGTTTGATGGGAGCTATAAAGAGAATATATTAACACATTATTGTTTTAACAATCCTGTGTTTAGCAGCTATTATGCTGAAGAGAGTAACATAATATTGCTGTAATAGAAATATTAACAAAATTAAAAGCAACTGAAAAGAAAGTCCATAATGAAGCTGGCCATCATTCAATTTATAATTCAAGTGTAATAAAAACTTGTAAAGATGATTGCCTATTTTAAACTCCCCAAAGTTTACACTCATGCAAGTAACTTTAATAAGTTGAGTTATTATGGTGATTAACTAAAAATCTATTCCTACTTGTGATAGCCATCTTGCATTTTTCATTTTGAAGTTTGTTGCCGGCGCTGATCTGGTTAGATTAGGCTGATCTAAACTATCCAAACTCTACTAATTTTTTAGGAGAAGAGAAAAATGTTGATGTGCAACCTTGAAACAGTAGTTGCCTTATGGATCATGAATGGAACATAAAATTTGAAGGTGTAAGGACTTTAAGTGAGGATGATAAAGGAGTTTTTTGTATACAATTTGGAGAAAGGAGTAATAAGAACTACATGTACACATTTTAGAGCAACCTGTTTACATAACTTGGATCATGGAAGAACGCTCAATTGTCTTCATAATGTTTTTCATTCATCTATTCAGTTTAGCCTAAAGCAAGCTATTGATTCTTATTTATAGAAATAGAGCTAGAGAGTTAAGCAAAAAATTTATAAACAAATCATGTCTCATTCATAACCCAATCTAATTCTAACAAATAGTCAAATTCAAACATAATATTCCCCAAAAATAATTCAAATTAATTAAATGAATTTAATAGAAAATATAAAAGGGCTTGTAACCTTTTGGCTAATTCATGAAAAAGATTGATCTTTTTTTGGCTTAAATTAGCTGAATTGTACTTCATCAATTCATCTGACTTACAAGAGATCTTCTGAGTCTCCTCTTCAGGAGTTCGCAAGCAACTCTTCCATTCAAAACCTTGCAGGTGGCAACTAAGGTGGAGGATGTTGCTCAATCAAATCATATGATGGAAGATGCAGCTATGCAATGTTGCGCACAGTAGGCCAAAGAAGTCTAAAGAATGTATAGATTTGGAAGCTTTGGTGGGGTGGCTTAACGATATGGACTAACAATGAACCTGGTAGTGATGGTGGTAGTGGAAGTTAGAGTATTATTACCAATTTAATATTACGGAAGTGCGACTTAAATAATATGCAATAATCTTAAATAGTATATGACACGGGCATGGGATTTCTCACGATGGGAAGCGAATCGTACTTCCGTGCTTGGACCAAACTGGTCCAGGTATTTTTCGTTGTAGAGGAGTTAACCGGTCACCTTGTTCCACTCCTAGTTATCCTATTACTATATATTTACTTTTTTTTGATGTTTTAGGTTTAACTCCTAATAATCCTATTCCTATTACTATACACGTTCCTCCTGCTTTGCTGCCACACTGCCATCCTCGCTGCCGCAGCTGCCCGGCCTTTCCTTTTTGCTGCCACCACCATTTCAGCCCTCCATCTTTGCTGCCGTCACCCTAGACAGCTCTCCCACAGTAGTCCCTGCTGTTTGCTTGTTGTCCGGCTCCGGGGAAACAACTACCTTGCTGTTTTCTGCTTTTCAACCTCTTTTTCCACTCCCGAGCTACCTTCCAAACCCTCGTTAACCACCACCACCCTTGAAACTACCCCTGGTTGAGTTTGTGTTGTTATTTGTTGTAATTTCAGGTTTCAATATCTTTGATTGTGATTTTCCGGTTGGTTTTGGTAAATAATATTTGCTTTATTCTGTTGTTGCTAACTCTGGTATCTTTCGAGGCCATAACAAGTGAATTTGATATGAATCTCCATCATAATCATCATGAAATACGCTATTTTGCTGTGCAACGTCTTCGGGTTTGAAAAATTCATCCAGCATACATTGTTTTAACATTTTGTAATATTTCAGAATCAATCCCCATCATAATAGTAAAGTTAGATACTCATATTTTATAATTATACGCTTAAGTCGATTTCCTCATCATAAGGAAGCATCTCATAATAACACCGTCATAAGATTCATCATCATATGGTGGAATGTTATAAAGTTCTACAATTTTGTTTAATTGGTAAATATATTTATTTTTGTTTGGGCCAAAGGAACATATGGAGCATGTGTAATGAATTGCATGGGATTGTTTGAAACGTGTTTGGAGTTGTATATGCGAAGTTATTATCTGATGAATTTGTAGGTGATAAAATTTAAAATACTTAATGGGATGTTGAGAAGAGGAGTCACAACTATAATAAGATGAATTATTTGATCTAAAATGATAATCATCATCATCATTACATCATTATTATAGTGATGATCCAAAAATTCTAATATGAAGATGTGATTCATTATCATCCTTGCATTTGTATGAATAAATACAATTAACAGTCCCAAGTACTACTTTATGAAAGGTTAATATATGAGACATGATGTTTAAGTTATGCCGGTGTCTTAAACTTGGGATAATATGATGCCATTGAAATTTATAGTTGGAACTTCTTATAATGAGTTTTGTGGTAGGAGCTGGTTGGTTAACTTTCTTGCTGAGGATGGTCGTAGTTGTGCTGTGTCAAGGTGAATTTGGTAGCAGGGTGTATGATTGTGCCAAGTTGTAGGTGGTCGAAGGTACTTGGAAGAACAAAAGATCACTGAAGATAGAGTTGGTATGTGGCAGACATCCTAGTCTGTTGATCATTAAAAAAGTTGGTGGTGTTGTCATTAATTGTGGCAAGTGGCAGTATATGCACCGGCGAGGCCTGCGACATGCTAGCGAGGGTGGAGACTTTTCATTGATGATGGCGGTACTCCATATCCAATGCTGTTGAAACATTTGTAGATTTAGTTTTAGGTTTTAGATGAGAGGAAGAGAGTGAGGATATGCTCGGCTTTGTTTACCTTATCCTATTAGCTGAATGGTTGCTAATTCAATATATTTTGTGTTGGGTTTGGGCGTTGGAAAATTCACAGAACTATTTCAATCTCTTTTGCTAGCATTATGGGACATTTACATACATACCACACAATTCTTATTTATTTACATGTACACCTAAACATTCATATTCACTTGCATACTACTCAAATCTTCACATAAAAAATACCATCATCACTACCTATTTAAAAGTGAAATACAACTTTTCATGCATTGGTTTATGATACCAAAGTGTTGTAGGTGTAAATATCAGGTTTCGGGTGTTTGATGTGTAAATACAAAAAAATTGTGTGGTATGTATATAAAATTCCCTAGCATAATTTAAAGTGAAATACAACTTTTCATGCATTGGTTTATGACACCAAAGTGTTGTAGGTGTAAATATCAGGCTTCGGGTGTTTGATGTGTAAATACAAAAAATTTGTGTGGTATGTATATAAAATTCCCTATCATTTTAATCAGCCGGCCACAGCTTAATGGCTACTGGGGCTGGAAATGAGGAACTATCAGGCCACTTTGTATGAAGTTTGATGCATACATGAATGAACTAGCTTCAGCCGGACGTTAGTAAAATATGTGCAATATAATATTTTGACGATCCAAAGTTTTATTCTTAGAGAAACATAAGTTACGTAACCCTGGTAATCTGCTTATTTTTTCACAAACAGGTAAATACTGAGCGGGCTATACGACATGCTATACAAGAAAGGCTTCCCATTGTAGTTGTGATAAATAAGGTAAGATTTTGTCTTCCTTCGTCGAGACCACCTCCAATTTTTTTTCCCCCATATTTGTTTTTTGTTGAAATTTGAGTTTGATCCATTTAATTTCATCATCGTGTAATTCAGGTTGACAGGCTTATTACAGAACTAAGGCTGCCTCCAAACGATGCTTATTTTAAGTTGCGCCATACATTGGAAGTAATCAACGACTTGATCTCATCCTTCTCCACCACTGCCGGAGGCACCCAGATTATCGACCCAACTGCTGGAAACGTTTGCTTCGCCAGTGGGAGTGCGGGATGGTCTTTCACCTTGCAGACGTTTGCTAAACTATACGTGAAGCTTCATGGCATCCCATTCGACTTTCTAAAATTTGCTTCACGTCTATGGGGAGATATTTACTATCACCCTGACCGGTCCTTTAAAAAGAAACCCCCAGCGGGCGGTGGTGAAAGGTCATTTGTGCAATTTATTCTTGAACCTTTGTATAAAATTTACAGCCAAGTTATCGGAGAGCATAAACGAAGCGTTGAGTCGACCCTTGCGGAATTAGGCGTTACTCTTAGCAATGTGGCTTATAAATTAAATGTTCAACCTTTACTCAGATTGGCCTGCAGCTCAGTCTTTGGATCTGCCACTGGTTTCACCGACATGCTCGTTCAACACATACCTTCTGCTAAAGATGCAGCAGCGAAGAAGGTAGAGCACATATACACAGGTCCTCAAGACTCTTATGTAGCGGAGGCGATGAAAGACTGCGATCCTTCGGGAATTCTTATGGTCAATGTTACAAAACTGTATCCAAAATCCGATTGCAGCGTCTTCGATGCTTTCGGACGAGTTTACAGCGGGTCGATTCAGACTGGTCAGACTGTACGCGTACTCGGTGAAGGTTATTCTCCTGATGACGAAGAGGACATGACGATCAAAGAGGTTTCAAAACTTTGGGTTTACCAGGCTCGTTACCGTATTCCCGTTAGCAAAGCTCCTGCTGGTTCATGGGTTCTTATCGAGGGCGTCGACGCGTCAATCATGAAGACGGCAACGTTGTGCCCTTTAGATATGGATGATGATATTTATATATTTCGCCCGCTTCGGTTCAACACGTTGTCGGTTGTGAAGACGGCAACGGAACCGTTGAATCCGAGCGAGCTACCGAAGATGGTGGAGGGCCTGCGGAAAATTAGCAAGAGTTATCCTCTGGCAGTCACTAAGGTTGAGGAGTCGGGCGAGCACACCATTCTTGGGACAGGGGAGATATATCTCGACTCGATTATGAAGGACCTTAGAGAACTTTATTCGGAAGTGGAAGTTAAAGTGAGTTAATAGTTTATGGTTGAGTAAAGTGTCCAAATAGTCCCCTAGGTATTTACATAAAGTCATTTTAGTCTCAGAATTCATAAATTGTCATCCTAGACTCTTTTAGTGGAGGCTAAAATAGTTCTCTGTATGGAATATATCAACTCATATTACAAGAGTTTGAGGACTAAATTGACAAATTTATAGACTGGTACTAAAGTGACCCATTGCAAAGAGTTAGGGGATCATTTTGACATTTTTCTCGTTTGTGGTTGTATAAATAGTAATTCCATTGTTTCCTTATTTTTGCAACTGCTGCCTAATGCATATTTATTTTTGATACAGGTGGCAGATCCAGTGGTCACTTTCTGTGAAACTGTTGTTGAATCATCTTCAATGAAGTGTTATGCCGAAACACCCAATAAGAAGAACAAAATAACCATGGTAAAATGTCCTGTTTATTTCAAATATTTGGTAGTCTAATGGAAAATTTTTATAACTTTGCTTTTTATATTTTTATTTTTTTCCTATTTCCATACAGATATCTGAGCCATTGGAGAGGGGAGTTGCCGAAGATATTGAGAACGGTGTTGTGAGCATTGATTGGAGTCAAAAGAAAATTGGCGATTTCTTTCAAAAAAGATACGAGTGGGATCTACTTTCTGCAAGGTCAATTTGGGCATTTGGACCAGATAAACAGGTAAAAAAATTAACACTAAATGACCACTTATTGTATGGAATGTGGAAATTCAAATTTTAATGCTAGTTTAGTTTCTATACTCGGTTAAACAATGTGTTTGACTTTATAATTCGTTTGGGGCGCCAAATGTAAAGATAATTTCATGTATTTTAGGTTCGATTATCAAGAAGTCTCTCGAAAAGATACTTAATTGAACACATAACAAAGGTAGATAAAATTTTTGCAGCTCTCGAAAAGATACTTAATTGAACACATAACAAAGATAAAAATTTTGCAATTTCATTCTATCGATAATAGACTAAATTATAAATTAAAAAAAAGTCATTTCAATTCCATAAAATTGCTTAAGCATTGAGTCGATCGCATAACAAAATTTCAAAAAAAAAATAATTTGTACAAATAACATACCTCCAGCCATTAATTTGAACACGTTTATCATCAATTTTGAAAATTTCTTAACATTTTTTCCTCTTCAATTGACGGTGTATACGAGAATAGACTTAGGGATCCTTAGGGGGTGTTTGGCTGCAACTAGTATTTAAGTTAAATAGGATTTAGTAAATCCGGTAAAACTGGATTTATCAAATCCAAATGTTGTAAATCCACATAGTGTTTGGTTCAATTTAAGGCTGAATCCATTAAAGTTGTTTATCATATTTGGCATAAATCCACCCATATATTTTTCTTCCAAAGTTAAATCCGTAATCAGATTTAATAAATCCAGATTTAAGTTAAAAAAACTAACAGAAGCAAGAAATTTTGGATTTAACAAGATTCATGTTTAAATTTCGCAATTTTTTTGTTTGGCTTGATTTATGTTAAGTATCATGCTCAAATCGGGCTACCAAGCACCTAAACGAAATTTTATTTCTGCTCATCACAGACAAAAAAAGATAAAAAACTGTATTTGGAAGTTATTAACTCCTCTTAATGTAATTTGGACCGTATTAATTAATAATTAAGTAATGGTAAGTTACGGGAAACAACATTAGATTCCTTTATTATACCAAGAGTTGAAGTCATTTTAGCATTTAATGGTTGGCAGCGCAAACAAGTCTGAAAGGTTTTAAAACCCATCCGGACCAAATTTTGATCATACCTTTACATATTTTTTCTCTCCAATTTTTTTTGCTTGTGAATAGTATTATGTTAGACTGCAATCAGCAATCATTTCTATGGTGGCATGACAACCCAGGGGCCTAACATCTTATTGGATGATACCCTTCCAAGTGAAGTTGATAAAAATCTACTCAATGCTGTGAAGGATTCAATTGTTCAGGGGTAAGGAAATAGATTGCTTTTATTTCAATTTACATATATTTTTTTCTCTTTTTCAGAAAAAAAAAGGGAATTTACAAACATACCAGCTACTGCTTATGTATCTACATATATAACACGTAGACTTCACTTTTTACAGTATACCATCCAAATTTTTCACATCACAAAAAAAATGTTTACCGCACTTTTAATGAATACTTAAAGTGATATGTGTGTGTGTAAAAACTGAAGTTCAGGTGTTAAATATGTAAAAATATGGGAATTAAATGGCAAGCATGTTAATCTTAAAGTAAAAAATGTTTATTCTACTTTTTCTGGCATTAGATTCCAATGGGGAGCCCGAGAAGGGCCTCTTTGTGATGAACCAATTCGTAATGTGAAGTTCAAAATTTTGGATGCATCAATTGCTTCTGAGCCTCTACATAGAGGTGGCGGCCAGATTATTCCAACCGCTAGACGTGTAGCCTATACCGCCTTTCTCATGGCAACCCCAAGGCTTATGGAACCCGTTTACTATGTCGAGGTTGTCTCGACTTGAACTTGGGATAGCATTTTTCTATTATTCCTCCTACCAGTAGATGATTTACATTAGTTGAACTTGGGATAGCATTTTTCTATTATTCCTCCTCCTACCAGTAGATGATTTACATTAGCTTTGCGCTGTTTCAGATCCAAACTCCGATTGATTGTGTATCTGCAATTTACACTGTATTATCTCGAAGACGGGGCCATGTAACTGCCGATGTGCCGAAGCCTGGAACTCCTGCATATATTGTGAAGGTTAGATCTTACGTAGCTCACTATTCTTATGTATTTACAAATCTCTTTGCTGATTACGAGTTTTGTAACTGAGTCAATCGGACTCCTTAGCCCTATAGATAATTTGAAAATAAAATTCGGTGAGCTAATTATTCACCATCTTTATATATTTTGATCAATTCTATAAAATCTTACAGGCTTTCCTACCGGTCATAGAGTCATTTGGCTTTGAAACGGATTTGAGGTACCATACTCAGGGTCAAGCCTTCTGCCTCTCTGTATTTGATCACTGGGCCATAGTGCCTGGTGACCCACTCGACAAAAATATCGTGCTGCGCCCGCTTGAACCGGCGCCCATTCAGCATCTTGCTCGCGAGTTCATGGTCAAAACGAGACGTAGGAAGGTACGTATACTTCCTGTAAGGAGTGTTTAATTTGTAGGTACAAATTTCATATGTAATACCCAAATCTTAATTATTTACACTAAAAAAACATTTTTAAACTCTTTAATTTTCACCTTAACAAAATTCCCAACAAATTAAAAAGGCTATATTAGTATATTTTGCTGTTGTCAAATTTTATTTATTTATTTATTTATTTTAATTATTGAAGATTTACCTACATGCCACCAATACTTATGTATTTACATATATAACACCTAAACCTCAATTTTTTATATTTATGTCACCTTACATATGCATGAAAATGTTTATTTCACTTTTTAAAAGTTTAGATGTTAGATGTGTAAAAACATAAGAATTGGGATGTAAATGCACTTCAATTTATTTATTTATTTATTGTTGATTTTGTTATTATTATTGTTTTTTAAACACATTAAGGTTTGAAATGAGAACATTTTTAAACTGTGAGATTCGAATGGTGCAGGGTATGAGCGAGGATGTGAGCATCAGCAAATTCTTTGATGAATCTATGATGAATGAGCTGGCTCTACAGGATGCAGAGTTACATCTCCAGATGACATAAACCCCCCTCCTGATCATCGCAACAATATTTCTTTGCCTTGCTTGCGCCAGGTACCATATGGTCTCTTTTGAAATACTCATTTCTCTTGTTAATTAAAGCTTGGGTTGAGGCATTCCAAATTTTGAGCTACTGTTACAATATCTTTCGGCAGCTTTGTCACAAGTATATATTTATGTTTTATGGCAAAACAAGACAAGAGTAGGGCATAGAATTAAATTTAGGGAGCGTAAATGTGTTGCTTTCTTATTTTCCCATGGTTCTAAGAAAAATTTCTATGTATCATTGGTTGGGCATATTATCTTTTGATTTATGTGTAGGACACCTTAGGGAAGTTGGTTGGGGATGTTTGAGACCACAAAAATGGTTGTGTAGCTTTGTTGGTTCGGGGATGATAGGTTCCGAGACATTAGTGCATGGATAGACATGAAACTCTACTCTGTAACTCTTAAATGTGATTCGCATTCTTTTTTCCATACATTTTTAAGTTTTTTTTTTTTTGCTTTTTTTTCTTAATATTCAGTCTTCACCAATAGCGTCTAAACTCTTTAACTAGTGGTGGATCTCATTATTCTTTCATGAAAACTGTGCGTGAAGGTGCGTAAAACATCATAAACTCTGGATAATTTTCATACTTCGCTACAAGTGTGTGAAAGTTTTTATTATATTATTCTGCCATTCTCTTTTATTTTGAAAAGATACTCGGCCAACTTGAGTTTAGGGCATATAAATACATAACAATTGTGTGGTATGTAGGTAAATGTTCCAGATTTATTTGACCCCATTCTACGGCAATTTTCTCATCATTTTAATTTCTTAGGCGCCCCTTAAATCATGAATACGTAAACAATGACTATTTGATTTAAAGAGAACAACTCTTGTTATAGATATTTCTAGTTCAAGTTTTAATGCTTTCTCCAACACGAACAATATTCGGTTGCAGAAACCACGAAAAGCAGAGGACCTCGTATAATACTTGAGCAGTCATTAATACATCAAAGCACATTTATTTCGCTTGCGAATTTTACGTAAAAGTATCGAGTTCATCTATTTAGCTCGGAAGCAGAAATTTATTATTATGATATTTACATATAAATTTCGCTTGCGAATTTTACGTAAAAGTATCGAGTTAGAATTTAATAATTCGATGCTTGGAGACGCACTATCTTAAGAAATGTATATAATTGAATTTATTATTATGATATTTACATATAGAATACTTGAAACATTCCTATTTATAAATAAAAAAATTTAGGTGATTTTTTGAACCACCACTGATACATTTATTATGAATTTGAAAAACAGATGAAGGGGAATGTTTACTTTGTAAATAGGTGCCTTCTATGTAGTCACCTTTTTATTATTTTCTTGGTTGATTTAGGGTAGTTTTATAAGTGCTCATTAAAAAATTTGTTTAAAGATTTACATTAAACAATGTTAATTATATCAATAAAGCATTTGCATTTATCTCCATAGGTAGTTTTATAAGTGCTCATTAAAAAATTTGTTTAAAGATTTACATTAAACAATGAATTAATTATAGTCTTGTCAAGAAATGCTTTTTATCTCCATTGCACATTGTAAAACTGCAATGATAAATAGTCCAATTTATTATGCAACCACCAATAACAACAAATCAATTTTGGGGGATCCAATGAAGGACCCATTTTAATAAATTAACAACAACAAATAATGACAGCTTTCCCCAAAATTTAAGGGGAGCAGTGATTTCCCCAAAAGAAAACGAAAGATTGATGGTGGGTGGTAACATAACATCACGGAATCTTCTCTAATTTGTCGAGCTTCTTGACTTTTCGAAATGATATTACCAACAGCAACAAAAACAAACCTGATTTCGTTGCCAAAGAAATATTCAGAATCAACGTCAGTACCCAATGAAAAAAATATAAAATTGCAAATTTATACTTTTACAATATTTCAGCATTTACAAACATGCATTAATGCCTAAGCTTCCATATCTACACCATATCTACGAAGTCCAGCTTTTTCATGACAATTGCTTGGTATATATGTAAACGTCCCATATTCAAATTAGCTCAAAAAGTATAAATTCTGTTTGGCTAGAAAAAAAAAATCAAAATCAAAGTTCAATGGACCTTCAAAAATGGAAATCTGATACAAGTGTTGAGTGCAGGTAAAGTTAAAATTAAGGGATAAAATTAATATGTTATGGTATTAACAGTTTCATTTGAAGTGCAAATTAGCAAAAATCTGGTGGGGTTTTTCTTTTCTTTCTTAACGTTATGCGAAGTTATCTATAAATCAAATCTGCAAGTCAAGGTTTAGTTCTTTCATAAATACCAATATTTGAAATAAAAATGGCAATTTTCCTAACGAGAATGCAGCATAGAATAATGCAAATAACAATTGGTTTATCAAAGTTGGATCCAATTGAAGAAGATGAGGTATATAAGAAATAGCTGAAAGATGTGGTTTCATGTTTTTCTCTGAATAATCTAACACCTAAACATTCATAACTATATAATGGTTTGATGTGATATTTCACATTGAAGGAAGCGGAATGACAACAATAGCTCGGATAGAGATAATAATCTAGATAATACATTAATGCTAACTAGACTATCTAAAAAATACTAATAATAATAGTATTAATAATAATAATAGTAGTAATATTAGAAATAGTAGTAATACTAGTAGTGTAATAGTAATACTAGGAGTAATAGTAGTAATAATAATATTAATAGTTGTAGTAGTAATAGTATTAGTAGTAATAATAATAATACTAATAGTAATAGCAATAGTAATAAAAGTAATAGTACTAGCACTAGTACTAGTGGTATTAGTAGGTAGTACTAATAATAGTAGTAGTAGTAATAATAATACTAGTAGTA